TTTTTTTCTTCATTGGAGGCGGCTGCGGCTGTCAGCAGATAAATATCGCTTGAGAGGAACTGACTCGTTTACTGCTGGCGGTGCAAAAAAAAAACCGCACGAATCACCGCACATTTCCCCCTCCACTCCCTCTTCACCATCAGTAGCCCTCCCACTAACGCCAGCGTCTCCCGTGCGCCTTCTCCCCGCATGCAACAGAGCCGGAATTCGCGACGGGCGAACACCCGGAAAATAATAACGTCCTTAAAGGCGAAAAAAAAAAAATACACAGAACGCGAAAATATGCGACCGCGTGTGGTCAATTGCCTCCTTTTCCCAGGAACGCGGAAAGCCCCGCGATGGGAGAGTATAGCTTGGCGCGATGCACCCGACACGCCCCAGGTGAGGAGGCGACTTTGGACCACACTCCTGCCCCCAGAAAAACAAAACAATTCAAAAGGGATATGGCTATGGCAACGGGGCCACGTGTGCGGGAGCTCACGCAGTGTCCCTCTGCGGGGCCTGGCAAACACCTGACTCCTCTCCTCCTGCGTAGGGGGCCACTGCAGCAGAGGGCCAGGGCGGGACAAGCAAAAAGCAAGAGGAAAAAAAAAAAAAACTGCACCAACGTCGCCTTCTACCGCGGCGCATTCGGAAAAGAAAACCAACTATGTGCTGAAGGCGATAGGGCAGCCAAACAAGACGCACTACCATTTTCTCAGCACCCCATCTGGCTGCAGATGCATTTACCAGAAAACTTCAAAGGACATAATAAAGGAGAGAAAATGCATCTAATACTTCTTCGTTGAACCTTTTACCTGCAAGGATACAAGCTTAACGATGCAAGTATTAGTATACGCTATTAAGATCAAAGTCAACAGCATAATGTGAATAGCAGGAAGGTATTTCTCTCATTCCTGCCGTAAATAGTCGTAGAAGGCCATAGTCAAGGCCGCATTAGGCGCCGCAAACGCGACCCTGCTGCCCACACCACGCCAAAGTGCCAAGGGCCCTTCCTCCCTAATAACCATTCGCAATCCATCAAAGAAACCAGTGTAGAGGTAGGGAAATCCATGTACGGTTGTAGGCCTGCCACCCACGGAGAGCACCGCTCGCTGTACCTGCAGCCTGGTTTTGATGAACTCCAAAGGATTTGTCGCAATGGAAGCGACGATATTTCCCATCCCGCCGGCGCAGAGGGCAGAAGCAAAGGAATTCAATGAAAGTTTTTTTGAAAAAATATCATTGAGAGCCTCATAACATGCAAAATAAACCGCTGAAAAAGGCCCAAAGGAGGCCACAGTCGTTGCATAGCACTTGTATAGTCCCGAGAGTCCTTCATAACGGGCAATGGTGCAGAGCGCATCCCAGCTTCCGGCGTACCTTCCCAGTTGCGATGGAGGCTGTGACTGCAGCCGCTCCTTTGTGACATCAATGGGAACCCAAAAGACACAACTCACCGCCTCCGCAAGAAAGCCACAAAATAAGTGCATGGTCCAAGAAGGAACGTCCCTCAGAGCACCGTTGCGGTACTTCTGGAGGAATTCGTTTGACCACGTGTATGTCGTGAGATACAGCGCGACACCTGGGGCGGAGCCCAAAGTGGCCACGCCAACTCCTCGGTAAAACCCGGGCACACCCTCCTGCCGATAAATTGAGCGCGTGGAACTCCAAAACACATTCTTTGTCGTCGTGCCTCGAGGTGCATCCGGTGTGTGGCGCTCGCCGCAAAATCCGGTGAAAGCCACCGTTTTCGTTGTGTCTAGAGGATGACAAACCAACCGGGCCATCATCCCCGCGGCAGCGGCGCTAAGAAGTTCCATCCTTCCTTTTGCTTCTTTTCCTTGGACCTTGTTTATGTATTTGTTGCGCGTGCAGTTGGGTCTTTACTCCTGCAACCCAGCCTCTTCTGCCGCCTGTTCTTCCGTGCTTCCCTGCCATGCGACAAGAAATTCCAAAATTTCATCAGCACAGACACAAACGCATACACACAAAATAATAATCATCATCATCATAATCATCATCATAAATAAAATAAAAACAAAGAACAAATGAAATAAACATCCACGGAACCATAAAAACAACAAAACAAAGTTCCAGCAAAAAGGAATAGGGCAAGAGATCCACAGAAACAGGCTTCACCCACCACCATGCCGGTACGGAGACCCAACAGACGCAATGTGTAGTAAGTGACCAGCGCGGTCCAATCACAAGTTCGGAGGGTCGTAAAAACAACAATAACAATACGACATTTGTTTTAAACTTAAAAATCCACTTAAACAGTTCTTCTGTCCCCCATTTTCTCGTTTTTTCTCCACATCGTTTTGCGTTCACGGGTATGCGTACAAGGGGGCGTGGTTGGGTGCTTCTGGCCACTGCGCACCTGACGAACGCGGGCGCCGAACACATTTGAAGCCCGGAGTCCCGCGAGGACCCACGCAAAACGAAAAGAAGAAAGAAAAAAAAACAACAAAGCCCAAACAACAGGAGAGCATAAACAACAAAAAACAAAAAAATCAAAAAGAACGTAAAAGAAAAAGAGGTAGGGGAGGAAACTGAACCCCCCAACGAGTTGTTCGCGAGAGAAAACGGGGCGACCAAACAGCTGGAAACGCAGAAAACAAGAGCAAAGCAAAGAAGAAGAAAAAAGTTTCTTTTTTCGTTTTTTTTTTTCGGGGGGAGTGAGAGTGGGAGCGGGTGACGTGGAAAGAAAAAAAAAAAAGAGGAAGAAAAAAGGGCGGGGGAAAAAAGAGCGACGGCCCATGAGACAGTGCATATTGTAAATTACTAGGCGGGAAAGAGAGTGTGCGTGCATATAAGTGCGGGGCAACGGGCCCACTTGAGAAGGGAATTCGCAAAAGCGAAACCGGACGGAAAGACAGCCGTGAGACCCAACGCCGTCAGAGCGTAGTAGTGTCCACGGCGAAATCGCCAGCGGCTGCATCCTCGCCGTCTTTGGCGTCGGCCAACATCTCCGAACCCCGCTTCTAAAAAACAAGGATAAAAAACAGTTCCCGCCATCCGCCGCCCCATCCTCTCGCCAGAGGTGCATCCCAGAACCGCCACTCGCACCCCGCGCCACCGAAAAGAGCAGGAAGAAAGAAAAAAGCAGGGAAACAACCCGTCACATATTTTTTTTCTTTTGTTTTTTATTGTCTGCATTCCGTTTCATTACGCAATAAAAGTTTGAAAATGAAGGGGAAAAAAATCCTGCGATACACTTGGAAGTCAAAACCCGCACTCGTAAAGTCGCCT